AGAGAGAGTGAATGTTGGGATAGAGTGAAGAAAGTGTGGGAATTCACCCCAGGAAACTGAGGAGGACAGACCCATGAAACCTGAGGAAAGGTAACTAGCCATGTGGCAGAACTTAGATTAGGATATTAGTTATAAGCAAGTCAGGGAACATGCCTAGCTACATTGGCCTCGGCTTTTGTAAATATATTTAAGACTCACAGTCATTTTTTCTGGAACAAGGGCACTGGTGAAAAACACGGGTTATAGAAAACCCCATCTACACTTAAGATAAGCATGTTAGACTGTTTTAATGTTTTGCAGCTGGTTTTGAGTGTCCTCTAGTTCTCATGGGTCTTCCCATCACTTGCTTTTCTCAAGATCTCTATCTTAGTCTCTCTCACAATTGCGTCACAGTTTTATGGAGCGGCCCTCCTGCTGTTGCGTTTTGGTGTGCAGGAGGAGCGCTCTGTAAGTTTATAACCCGATGTCACACTGGACTCCTCAGAGCATGTGACCTCCATTAGCACACCTATCCCTTTATCCTCTGGCAAGACAAGACAAAGGGCATTTTGTGGCCAGACGTTCTTTCCTCAAGTAGATAAGTCTGTAGTGTCATTTGCCTAGGAGAGCAGAGCTCTGTCACAGGCAACAATCCCCACTGTATTCCAAAAGAGCTGACCCCTCTGTTCACCATAAAGCACAGAGCTTATGGTTACATTTCTCATCCTCATATAAGCAAGTCCTACTGACATCACTTCTACTGGTATATCTCTGGCCCTCCCACTTGAGGCAGAGCAAGGGGATGAGAATTTAGGACTGGTCATTTGTACCCTGGTGAACAATCACCATCAGCGAAACTAACTCGGACTCCAGGTCCAGTTTATAACCGGGCACCTCCCTCTGATCCAGTGAGTTTAGCTAGTCTTACTGGGGGGGAGGGGAGGAGCCCAAAGAGGACCATTCCAATCTGCAGTGAAAAGGTATTTCTGTTTTCTTCCCAATCATTCTAAGGAACAGGCAGCAGAGACTTGTATTTCACTCACCTTACATAACTTATATGGTATAAGAAACACAGGCCCAAAGTAAAAAAGAAAAACACACACACACACACACACACACACACAAATAAAAGGCAGTCTAGGCAAAAAACAAAAACAAAACCCAAACAAAGAAAAACCCAATGCACTACAACTGAGAATATTTACAGAGGGTTCTTAAGTGGACAAAGAATGAATTTTAAAAATTACTTTTAGATCTATAAATATTAAGTATGTTTATAAAACTACGGTTAGACTAAACAAAGTGTATAAAATGACAATTCTTTATTAATATTTTAGTAAAACATGGTTTCCATTAAAATTAATTCCTGTTATTTATGAATGCTACTGTTTATTATCCAAAATAGCGCCTAACAGTCCAAACACAAAGTTGTACTCCATACTTTTTATCACTTTTTAGTCACTATGTGAAGTCAACTTCAAACAAAATTAATGCTCAGATATAAAATCTAAAGACCCCTCTGACCAACACCCATAATTCTTGTTTTGTTTTGTTTTTTTGTTTTTTTTTTTTTTTAAAAAAGCATCAGGGGCCTTTTGTTCACCAATAATAGTGTAAAGATGTCAAAATAATTTTTAATTATCTTACAGACTAGCTCATGTATTTAGAGAATGAGGCCCTTTTAGAGAATATTATTGCTCTGATTTTGGGATCCTCCTGCTTTCAACCACAACTAGATAAGCCACTAAGTCAATGGCTATGAAAAGATTAAATGGGCAGTAGGTTAAGAGTGAATGATATAATTGTGTACAGCCACCCAAGGGAATAAAACAGGCTTCTCCTTCCAAAATGCATTAATTAACAACGAAATTAATGTCTATATTAACCATACGCAAAATCACAGGGTATGAACACTACTATCACAATGCGAATTCCCTAGAGCACCTGGTTAAATCTGCATGATGCTAACCTTACCAGGAACTAGTTAGCCAGAGCCTAACAACTCTGCTGTGTAACAGATGGTAGACAACTGAAAGAGCAGGGGCAAAACATAGCATTTTCACTGGGCACAGTAGCAACGCCTATGCTCTCAACACTTTGGGAATCTGAGGAAGGAGGAGCATGAGTTCAGTGCCAGCCTGAGCTACATGTGAAGGCCTGTCTCACGAAAACCAAAGGCGAGGACAGAGGAAGTAGTAGCGAGCCTGCCAAACACGTCCAAAGCCCTGGGCCCCAGTCCTAGCACTACACACATACAAAAATAATAAAATCACAAAGGAACAAAAAGCACATTTTATGTTGTACTAACCTAGGCAGTCTGGGCTGAGGACGTGGCTCAGTTAAAGGGCTGGGTTTAAGATCAGCAGCTTGTCAGTCAGGCAGGATGAGGCAGGTCTCAGCATGGGGGGGTGGGGGGGTAGATCTGCAGCTCAAGCTCACCCTCAACTCTACAGTAAGTTAAGACAGCCGCGGATACAGTAAGTTATGATAAAGATTTACTTGAACGTACGACATCACTGCTGATTTACACTAAGGGGCTGACAGACGTGGCTCAGTGGCAGAGTAGCTAATATAACACTTCATCAGAGAAACATCAAGCCCTCCCACAAGAAAATAACCACGGCACACCTGCTAATGTTGAGTTCTTACTTCCAATTTCATAGTGAAAAACCTACTTGAGTTTAATACATCATTGGTTGAAAGAGGAATCCAAATACCAAAAACGTTAGAGTGTGAAACAAATCACAGAGCACACTAACTTTACACAGCACCATGCTAAGTACCGTGTGGCTAGGTATGTTTGTGTGTTCAGTACGCATGTGTGTATCGAGGTCAGAGGACACCCTGGGTGTTGTTCTTCAGGGGCCATTCACTCTTTGGGGCCAGTCCTAACTGGCCTAAACTTGTTAAATACGCTAGGCTAGTTGGCCAGCAGGGCTTTCCCCAATACTGCAATTTTAAGCACGAACCACTAAGCTTTTTGTTTATTTTATTATTATTTTTTAAAGCAAAGGTTCTGGGACTCAAACTCAGGTCCTCACATTTGCAAGAGATGGGCTTTACCAACTGATCTGTTCCCCCAGAGTTAGTCTTTTTGAGACAGCGTCTCAGTATGGAGGAAGAGTGACCCCACAATCTTAATCCTGTGTCAGCTTCTGGAGTGCTAGGAGGCACATGAAAACATTTCTGATCAAGTGGATCAGCATTTGAAAGGGCACATGAATCCTCTATAACATTTTATGGGCACAGTTAATGGTGAGCCAGTTAACAGTGAGAATTAACAGTGAGAAATAACTAGAAAAACACACCATCATCCTGGAGGGACTAAAAAGGCCAAAACCAAAAAAAAAACAAAAACAACAACAAAAAATTGCCTTGTGTGTCATAGCTCATTTGTTTAAAGAGAGAATCAATAGACCTTACTCAAATGTCTTGAATGAATTGTTCTATTTTGTTATTAGAAAAAAAGACAAGCCATATTATTACCAAGCATCACTAACTTTGAAGATTTATTTTATATTCTAGTAGTCTTTTAAAGACAAAAGTTCCCTTCCCAGCAACACTCTCAGTCCCAAAATCTTGTAATAGACAGAACTAAAAAGAACTTAGCATGTATCTTTGTAATCACATTTAAATAGCTATACATAATACATGTTTCAATAAATACCAGTTACATACTTTGTACCCTTTATGGATGTAGTAGACAGCCTATCTCATTGTCTTTTTTCACACTCAACACTGACTTAGGTGACTGCCTCTGTGTTTTTAACTGTATGTGCTATTTGACCCTTGGGATGGGTCATTTTTTCATCCACTAGCTCTCTGCTGGGTCTCTAGGTTTTCAGTTTATGTGCACGTGTTTCCTCTCCCTTATTCACAAGATTCCAGAGGCTTTCATAGAAATGAAAATAATCCAAACTAAAACTGTAGCATCTTTTTTGTACTTTCCCAAAACTAATTCTTTGACCTCAAGTTATAGACAAAGAGTGTGCATATTTTTGTTCTGTATTTTTTTAAGATAGGGTCTTATGTAGCCCAGGCTGACCTCAAGCTTGTAATGTAGCCAAAGCTGACCCTGAATTCTTTATCCTCCTGCCTCTCCCTCCCAAGCACTAGGATAGTATGCATGCACCATCATAGCCATCAACATCCAACAGTTTCAAGGTTTGAGTTTTTCACAATTCAGTGTTCAAATCCTTTGGAAGAGTGTTTATTATATTGCAGTACTGTTTACACCTTAATTTTATCCAAGAGCCAAGTATTCCCAAAACAAATGAATAGATTTTTTTTTTCCTGTCAACTCACGATGTCATGTCTGATGAGGAGCAAGTCCACATATTTCCACAGCTCTGTATCTGGACACTCTACAACCTGTTTGCCCATATGCTGCTATATCATACACTTTTAAGTGGCTATAAATTTACCACACATTACGAACAGTGCTATTCTAAATACTAATTGGGTTTACACACACACACACACACACACACACACACACACACACACACACACGTTTTGTTTTGAGACAGGGTCTCACTACGCAGCCCAGGCTGACCTCAAACTCTAGATCCTCCTGCCCCGATCTCCAGAGTATCATGGATAACAATAAAGATGTTCATACTGTTCTTTTTCTAAAACCAGCTTAGCAATCCATAGAAATTTATTTATTTATTGAGACACAGTGTCACTATGTAGACCAGGCTGGCCTCAGTCTTGCAGCAATCCTATTTGTCATCTAAATGCTCAAAATATAGACAAACATCACCAGGCCCGATTTTCACTTATTTTTACTTCATGAGAAGTTTAGAATCACTTCATAAATATTATGGAAAGATGTTACAAGATTATTTGAAACTCTATTATCTACAGAGTTGCAAAATTGAAAATTCTGTGATGATGCATTTTTTTGCATTAATGCATGAACTCCAACAAAATATTACTATTTTTTCAAAGAGATCTTGCTCATGTACTTGTATCAAATATCTCAAGTAAATTAGGCATTGATAGATAGTGGCACTGCCTCAGTTAGTCCACTGGGCGTTTCTCACCTCATGACCTCTTTTATGTATAGAAAGGGATGCTCTTTGAGAAAATGCCTTCCCGCATTCATTACATTCAAATGGCTTCTCACCAGTGTGACTTCTCATATGTATAATAAGTAGTGAGCACTGAGGGAAGGCTTTTCCACATTTATTACATTCATAAGGCTTCTCCCCTGTGTGACTTCTCACATGAAGAGTAAGGGATGAGATTCGAGAAAAGGCTTTACCGCATTTATTACATTTAAATGGTTTCTCTCCAGTATGGATTTTTTCATGTTCAAGGAGATTTTGTCTCTGACTAAAGGCTTTTGCACACTGATTACAATAAGGCTTCTCTCCAGTGTGAACTTTCTCATGCTCAGTAAGATTTGACTTCTGGCCAAAGGTCTTCCCACACACTGCACATGCATACGGCTTCTCACCAGTGTGAACTCGCTGATGTCTAATGAGGTTTGACTTCTGAATAAAAGCTTTCCCACACTCATTACATTCATAAGGTTTCTCTCCAGTATGAATTTTCTTATGTGTAATAAGATTTTCTTTCCGGCTGAAGGCTTTTCCACACTCATCACACTCATAGGGTTTCTCTGAGGTATGATTTCGCATATGTACAGTAAGGGAAGAACTTTGTGAGAAGGCTTTCCCACACTCACTACATACATATGGCTTCTCACCTGTATGGCTTCTCATATGTAAAACAAACACTGAGCACTGAGAGAAAGCTTTTCCACACTTATTACATTTGTAGGGTTTTTCCCCTGTGTGACTTCTCATATGCAGAGTAACAGCTGACATTCGAGAGAAAGCTCGACCACACTCATTACAAGTATAAGGTTTCTCCCCAGTGTGAATTTTCTCATGCTCAATAAGATTTTGCTTCTGGCTGAAGGATTTTTCACATTCCTTACATTCGTAAGGTTTTTCTCCCGTGTGGATCCTCTCATGTTCAATGAGATTTGATCTCTGACTGAAAGCTTTCCAACAATCCTTGCATGCATAAGGTTTCTCCCCAGTATGAACTCTTTGGTGTCTAATGAGGCTAGACATTTGAATGAAAGCTTTTCCACACTCATTACACAAATATGGTTTCTCCTCAGTATGAATTTTCTGATGTGTAATGAGATTTTCTTTTCTACTAAAGGATTTTCCACATTCTTTACAGGCATAAGGTTTTTCTCCAGCATGATTTTTCTCATGACTGAGGAGGTCAAATTTATGAACGAAGTCTCGTCCACACTGATTACATTTAAAGGGAACTACGGCACAGGGTGAACAATGGGAAAATGGCATTCCATATGCATTACATTCAAAGTTTCTGTCTCTTACACAGCCTTTCTTCCAATTAAGTATTTCTAATTTTTGTTCCAAACACTTACTAAATGAGTCACAATCATAGAGGTTTTGTCTTGAAGTAATGAAATCTGAGCTCAGAGGAAAGATTTTTGCAACCTTTTTACAGTCAATGACATTTTCTTTAGTCAGAGATTTCTTGGAGATGGATGTGACTTTCCTCACAAGTGTTTCCTGTTGTTTCTCCATCTGTTCATCAACTTCCCAAACTTCTAAAATGGAGGACCAAAAATCATTACTTGTGAAATTTTCTATCACTATACTATTTACCAATTTAGAACGTTGCTAATGTGGTATTGAATCTTAATCTTTGGCTTTAGTCAGCCAATAAGAAAGAAACTACAATGCAAATGACCCCCAGTTTTAAAGATAAAGTTAACTGCTACAGGCAATATTATGGGGAAAAACCAAACCAAACCAAAAGCTGGCATCTGTAGACCTAAGCAGCACTAATGGAATTTTTTTTAAACAGTATCCTTGTATTTAATGAAGAGTTCAGCAAAATGAATGGAACTGAAGGGAGAGGTCAACAAAGGGCTAGATGAAAGGTCAGATAGTGGCAAGATAAACTTCCTGTTTGTCATTAAATACAGTGGGCCAGACTAAATATATTTGTTTATTTCTCTTCCTTTTCAAAAAGAATGAAGGATCAAACCTTAAAGACAAAAGAAAGTACAAGATGAAAGTTGTGTAGAGAATCGTTAACTGGAGAGCACTTGGAAGATGCTAGAGCAAATGTATCAGGAGTGTGAGATGACAAGACACATGAAGAATCAGAAGATCCAAGGACTCAGAGAACAAGGCAGAGCTGCTCCTTTTCACCATTGCTTTTCTGCACACACCCAATGCTTGGCCAACATAGCAAGATAAGAAAAAGATCCACACACTGGAGAGGGGAAAAACAGTTTTTGGTTTGGTTTGGTTTTTGTTTTTTTCCAGACAGGGTTTCTCTGTGTGTAGGCCTGGCTGTGCTAGACTTGCTCTGTAGACCAGGCTGGCCTTGAACTCACAGAGATCTGCCTGCCTCTGCCTCCCGGGTGCTGGGGTCACAGGCGTGTGCTACCACCACCTGACGGGGAAGAAGCAGTAATGATAATGTTTGTTCACAGGCAGTGCGGTCCTCTACGCAGAAACTCTAAAAGAATCACTAACTCAAGCCTGCTGGAAACAATCACTTCCCCGGGGTGGAAAGACACAAAGTGAACATGTGACACTGAGCTGCTCACCAGGGATGAACAAGTGGAGTTTGAAATGAAGAATACACCACTAGTTATGAGTACTCCTCAGAGCAAAATAAAGACAAATCTAAATACATATGTACAAGATCTGCAATGGGAAAAGCACAAAACTCTCAACTTCTAAAATGAACAAATGGACAGTGTATGCTGAAAACAAGAAGACCCAACACTCAGCAGGTTAGTTCTTAATTTTTTTTTTTAACAAAATCATTTCTTAGCTAGCTAAACATTTACCAAGCCCAACACAAGGTCACCAGGAGATGCCAAAGATGTTAGGATTCAGAAGGGTGTTACAGATGGATGCCAATTTGTATGTAGACCATCCACTATTCTGGCAGAGACAGGAAGAGGGACTTCTGAAGACTGATGTCCAGTATTTTTAGCCTTTATAGGGCACACAGAATGCTTCTCTTTGCTTCTGCCATTCCCTTCAGATCAGTATAAAGCCTTGATGCTGTCTAAGGCAGCATATTTGGGGATAGCATATTGTAGTTCCCAGCACAGTTTCTCTTTCTGTTCTTGTTTCTTATCATCTTCTTACTGCTTTGAACACATTCAGGATATAGCATATTCTCTTCCTCTCCTGGGGTTGGGAAATACAGGCTGGTAACAGGAAGAGAGAAATCATCTACTGTGGAGTGTCTGGAATGCAGGTCTGACCAGCGTGAAATTGCAGGTGAACCTGGGCTTTCCTGTTTGCAGGGAGGTGTGTGCCATGGACAAGGCACCATCTGCATCCAAAGTCTTCTGACAGAAAGGCCCCTTTAGAAGTGGGAAGAGGACAGTGACTCACTGCCTTCAGTCTAACAGCTTTCATCACTGTCTTCCCCAGTGGCAGACATGAACTCCTTGAGCTGAAGTTACAACTTTCACCATACTGCTCTCTCCTTTTGCTTCCCACTCTTACAGTTTTCTTGAGGCCTGAGTCCACTGGTGGCTATCTTGGGTTTCTTGGGAACCGGCTTCATTCTGGCCTCAAGATATGTGTTAGGAATATGACCTATTTGTTTAGAATATGAATGTCTCCAGAGTCTCAAATAAACCTCAACTTTGCTGCCATCCGTACAAGTTATGAGGCAGGGTGGTAGGCAGAGGGGTCTGTTGTCTGGATTTTCTTGAGGGTTCGATTTGCTCAGAAGTCAGCACAAGGGGAACTGGTGGTTGAGGCCTATGCTTGAGGAATCATTTTATTCCATAGGGTGGTCTGTGGCGGGCTCCTCAGTAACTGGAACCAGCGTTGAAATCACATCCTCCTCACTGAATTCTTCCTTAAAATAGTTCTTGTTGTAAAGTCCTAGCTAGAGCATGACAGTATCAGGCAGGCTTGGGAGACGAAGGCATCAAAGATACGGATGCCTGTGGCTCACTGTTGTTAATCGGAAGCTTTGCTTATTTCTTACTTTGATTCACAGGTTCAACGCAATCTCAGCTTCCACTTTACTCTGTGTACAAACTGAGTCTGACATTCATATGGAGGTAACACACCCAGAAGAGAGAACACACTATTACAGAAAAAAGAAAATAACGGTGGATGCCGACAGCCCCTGACGTCAAGACTTATCACTAAGCTCTAGCAACCACACAGTCCGGTAGGTAGAAGAAGAAAGGACAAACAGAACAATGGAACAGAATAAACAACACACAAACAGCCTCAAATAAATATAGTCGCTGGTCTTTGACAAAAGAGCAAAAAGTAATACAACAGGGCAAAGACAGTCTTTCTAACCAACAGTGCTACAGCAACTGCACCAGACAAACCAATCCAGACACAAACCTTACACTTGGCCCAGAAAGTAAAAACCACTGTGCTAAGTGTAAAGCACAGAACTGTAAAACTAGAAGAAGAGAACATGGGACAAGGTCTGGGTTATGGTGATGGGACAGAGAGGGAGTGATAAGAACAAAGGCCTGATCAATTAAAAAAAAAAAAACAACTTCATTAAAATTTCTAAACGTCTGCTTCATGAAAGCCAGTCAGAGTGAGAAGATAAGCCACAGACTTGCACATGGCACAAATGAGAAAGGGTTATCATATAATACAGACAAAAGACATAAAATTTATATTAAAAACAAGCTAGGAGGTGGTGGTGCACAACTTTAATCCCAGCACCGCAGGAGGCAGAGGCAGGTGGATCTTGGTGAGTTCAAGACCAGCCTGGTCTACAGAACTAGTCCTAGGACAGCCCAGGTTACATAGAGAGATCCTATACAGAAAAACGAAGACAAAAACAAAATCCCAACCAAACTGTGGCTGTACATGCCTGTGATTTTCCACTTGGAGGCTGAAGCAGAAAAGACTGGAAGCTCAACAACAGCCAGGGTACACCTGAGATCACGGTATCCCCCAAACAACTCCCCTACCTGCCACAAAGCATCCAGGAAAACAAATGAACAAAAGAAACTACTCAGACATGAAGCATATGCAACCATGTTCAAAATTGTAAGCCAGTATGTAATTCACTGTAAAGTTTTTTTAAAACATCAAAGAGACACCACTAAGCAGCCATCAGTGTAACCAAAATCACGGACACTACCAGATGTAGGCAAGGACTGCGACAGGGACTCTCAGACACTGCTGCTGGGGATGAAGACGATACACCTACTTTAAAGAGAACCTGGAAGTCTTTCCAAAATTAAAATATTCTTAAATAAATCTTTACTACTTTATTTTATTTTATTCATTTATTCATTTATTCATTCATTTATTTATTTATTTGTTTGTTTGTTTATTTGAGAAAGGAGGGCACCTGTGCAGTACGTGAGGAAGTCAGGGGACAACTTGCAGGAGTTGTCAGTTCTTTACTTCCACAATATGGATCCCAGAGATTGGACTCGAGTTGTCAGGCTTGAGTGCCTGAACCATCTTGCTAGCCAACAAAATTAAATAATACTTTTACTTATGATTTAGTAACCATACTCCTTGTTACCTGCCCCAGTGAATTAAAAACAAGTTGTTTATTATTATTATTTTAGGATAGTATAAAACTGGCACTAAAACCACGAGATTTTAAAATCTGAATAGGGAGCAATCAGACACTTTGAGGCAGACAATACGGATCTGCTAAGTTTAATAATATCTCTTCTAACCACAAGATGTTTCCCCATCTTATAAAGGATTAGACAGTTCAAAATACCTTTCCTAAATACAACTAAACACAGGGTTTGCATGAGATTTCCAAAACTGCCACCCACATAGATGAACATTAGATTCAGAGCTAAATGAGGAACGGTGCCTTTTTCCTTAGATTACAAGGAGGAAGCAAGCACTCGTAATTTGAAAACATTTCTCTAGTTCAACCCCAAGTACTTTGTTGATAATTTTTCGAGCAATAATTTCCTCAGTAGCTCACATCTTTGTGACTCACTTCTAGAAACTTAAAAAGCACGATCTCCTTAGTCCTATTCCTAATTCTGTGAGCCATTTACTAGCCTCACATTAAGTCTTGAAACAGCGGCTGGTATATTTTTTTTGCCATAACTGGACCTTGGCTACACCACCACTTAGCAATCTGTACAGGAAAATGGCTGAATCTCCGCAACGCAAACAAGGAAAAGGTTTATTCTGAGGAGAATGAGCCAAAGAGGCTCCAGATGTAGAAGCAGCAGATACAGAAGGGCTCAGTAGGAATTCTATGAACGTTTATACAGCACCGTGTAACCTTCAGTCCTTTTATTACTTAGGGTCCTAAAGGTTGTTTTGCATATGCCTCCAGGGTAGGACATAAGAAAGTTTAACAATAAAAGACCTATAGATACTGGTTTTTGGGACACTCAACAAAACTTCCTGGTTCTGATTTAACCAGTACAGTCTACTCCTGAAAAAAAAAAAAAAAGCATAAAAATCTGCATTACCTTAAAAATTTTTTTTAATAATTTCTGTAAGGGAGGGAAAAGATAAGGTTAGAGTGGGATATCAGTATAAGATTTGCATTTCTATTGACTTTCTAAAACAAGTGCATGTATTAATTTGGAGAAAAACTAAAAATGTATATTAAAAAAACAAAGAAATCTGGCTGAGGAGATAGCTCAGTTGGTAAAGTGCTTGTCTTGCAAACAGGAGGACCTGAGTTCAATCCCCAACACTCACATGGAAATAGGAGGATCCCCTTAGCTCAGGGGCCAGCCAAGTTAGCCTTCCTGGTGAGTTCCAGGTCAGTGAGAGGGTCTGCCTTAAAGGAAATAAATGGCATTTCTGAGGATGGTATTGTCCTATCCTTCATACTCACACACACAAACTCATATACACATACTGAAATAAAAAAACTATATAAAAGGAAAATAATAGCTCCATTAGAACAAGAGACACAAAACCCACGTTCTTTTTGCCCACGTGAACTATCATACAGACCTAGTAAGTCTGTTCATTTTATATGCCAAAAGCTCATCAGTTTTCATACTGTAACAATTATGAAAACATCTGAAGATGAGGTTGTCCGAACTACAATCTAATCGAAAACTATTAGTGTAGCTCTGTGTCAACCAACTCATGAATCAACTAAGAAAACAAGACACCGGCTTCCTCTTGATGGGCTAATAGTTTAAGTACTGGATGCCAAAGTGTGAAAACATATAAGTTTTCACACTCAAATCACTCTGGTGGATGCAGATGGGCAAGTAGGAAAACACTGACTGGGAACTGAGCTCAACGTTAAAAAACTTGACTCTAAATAGGTCAGAGACCTCAAATTAAAGGAAAAGACATTTCTACAATTCTGGAGACATTAAAGATAACACCTTCCCACACTGTTGTTTCTAGAGCTGAGCCTCAAACACAGCTATATGATGAAGGCACACAAAAGGAAAGAGTCCACATGTAACTTACGGTTGTTTAGGGGAGATCTTCAATGACCTGAACCTGCAGGAATGGGGGTCCTGAACGGTGAGGTGTCCAGGGGAGGACAGGGATGAGCACATAAAGACACAAAGTTGGAGTGAGGAGGACTGCACAGGGTGACCATGTCAGCATCAGTGCAGCCTCTCATGCACTGTGTGCAGTGAGAACAGGACAAAGCCAGCGGGAAGCTGTGACACAGGGGATGAGGTCAGCAGGAAGCTTATCAAGCCATGCTGCTCGCTCATCAAAGGAACACAGGATATCTCAGGCGTGTCACAGGTCAAGGACACAAGTGGCCTTGGGACTGATAAGCACAGCCTTTCCCCAGGAACTGAAACCCTGACTCTCTTGAGGCCCTGGGCCTAGCCCTTGCCAACCAAGTCCACCCATGGCAAGGACACAGGAAAGCATGTTCCCCCTTTCCTTTCAACAGGGCCTCTGGAAAAGTTCTGATCGGCCTGGTCCCAGAAGTCCAGGGAGAGTTGAGAAAACGAGTTACGTAAAAGTCATGAAGCAAGACGAAATAAACAATGAGTGGGAACTGAAAAAACAAACAAACAAGCAAACAAACAATACAACAAAGAAGAAAGCTATTTCCAAGAAAGGTGGTTTATGGGCTCAATACAACAGAGCTCTCATGTTTCAGTATGGTGTTATTAGACATGTCCCTTCTACCCTACAAGGACAAAGAACAGAATAAAAAATACATCTTCAATGAAACTTTAACTCCAGAATAAAGGAAAGAATGAAAATGGGTTGGTTAAGGTAGAGATCAAGACTCATTTCTATGAGATTTATAGGCAACATAATAGTGCAAAATGTAGACACTCATTTTCAGCTCTGGGACCCAGGTGTGTGGCCATGGTGGAAGGAACCCAGCAGACTTCACTTGGTCCTGACAAACCGCAAGGGAGGAACACCTTGAGTAATCAGACACAAATCAACTTCATTCTGCATAGCATACTACTGGCATAGGAGGGTGGGAGGGTCTGGATACAAAGGAATTGTGAAAATGATGGTTCCTTCAGCTTGTGACAGTGACCAGTTTTGAACTTGGTCAGTATAAGGCACAAAGATTTCCTATTAGCTTAGAAGTTTTTTTTTCCATTTTGTAGTGGGTCCAGGAGAAAAGACCTTGGTTAAAAGATAAAAACTGATGATCAAAAAGGACTGCTATCAAATCTCAATGATAGTATAAAAAGCAAAAACCTTAACCTTTGGGCTGGGGGAGCTGTTTGGTGGTAGAACACCTGCTTAGAATACAGAGTTGGGGAAAGTGGGTTTGATTCCTAACACTGGAAACAAAACAAACAAATGTCCAGAAGGAAGAAAAGAACCCGCGTCTAAAGGAAATAGTGATCGCGCTGGCAACATTTCTAAAGCTTTAAACAGATACAGCAAAGCAACCTGCGGCCTGTAAACCCTAATTCACTTGTGTGGACAACATACAAGGAGAGACAACCAGACTTCCTCTCCTACAATCTTTAAAAGTGGAAAATAACATAGAGCCGCCTAACGCTCAGCAGAAACTATCTGCAGCAAGGCTCTAGGAAAGAAAATATGGCATGAGAATTTTACACTTAGCCAATCCTGTCAAACATAATTTAGAAAGATTTTTAATTGCTTTTATATGCATTGGAGTGTATGAATGGGTACCATGTGCATTTGGTACCCAAGAAACTAGAAGAGGATTTCAGAATTCCCTGGAACTAAAGTTACAGTGGTTGTGATTAGCCTCCTGTGGGTGCTGGAAACCAAACCCAGGTCCTCTCTATGCAAGGCAGCAAGTGCTGTTAACTGCTAAGCCATTTTTCTAGTACCTAAAGGTATTTTTCAGTTTCTTTCTTTCCTTTTTTTTTGACAGGGTTTCTCTGTGTATCAGCCCTGGCTGTAGACCAGGCTGTCCTGGATCTCACAGAGATCCTCCAAGTGATAGAATTAAAGGTATGCGCCACCATGCCTGGCTTCCTATTTTATTACATACAAAATAAATTACGGACTGGGATCTAGCTCGGTTGGTAGAGTGCTTGCCCAGCCCATGATCTTCAGCACCACATAAACTCAGTACTTGAGAGGCAGAGGCAGACGGATCAACAGTTGAAGGATTTCAAGGACGGCATGAGACTCACCAGAGACCAATTAAAACAGAGAAACCAAAGACCCATCAAAGCAACACAAACAAAACCTGACTAAAATCCAAGCTCCAAAGATGTAGAGTTTGTTTTATACACTGTTACATGCCCATACCTCAAACAGTATTTTACCTTTGCTGTGATTACTATAAATGGCCGCTCTTTCTCTTATATCCTTACTTGTGAAGTAGTAACGAAAGCTATTGGTTTTTGTGTTACTGACATCTCTAGCACTTCACTGAATGCTCATACAAGTTGTCGTACCTTCTCAGTTGGTTCTAGCATTTTCCAGGGATATAATCCCAACATCTTCAAATGGATTTATACTTTCCTTTTCAATTCCTTCAGATTTTTTTTATATTTCATACCATTTACTTATTTTGTGTTTTGCTTGTATGTATGTAAGTGTACCATGTGCATGCAGCCCCCATGAGGCTAGAAGAAAGCATCAGATCCCCTCAAACTGGAGGCAGACAGTTCTGAGCTGCCAAGAGTGTGCTGGGAACCAGACTCAGGTCCTTCGGAAGAGCAGCAAGTGTTCTTAACCAGTGGGCCATGTCTCCAGCCCCTGTTTTCAATTCTTAAAGAACTTGTTTTTCTTTCATGTCTAATGCTCAGGTAAACTTAATAAACAATATACAAAATCTCCAAAAGAAAACTTGGAAAGTTGTATTTCTCAAAGTAGATTAAACAAACAAACAAAAAAAACTTGTCAGTTGCTAAAGTTAATGCACACACCCAGCACACTCCCAAGGAAATATGCTGGTTTTCTCCAAATAAGACAGTTAAATCTAAAATACATTTGGCAAAACAAACAGGAGAGCTCTGAAAAAAAAAGAGAAGTAAATCCAACTGCAGAAAGAAAAAGACAAGCGTGAAGGAGAAAAGCACACTTTT